TGAACATATGACTATGTGACTTATCTATTAAATTTTAGCTTTATATTGTTAATTTATTTAATAAAACAGTTCAATCGTAAGCTTAAACGATTAGAACCAAATGAACCTTAAATCAAAAGTCTTGACGGTTTGACCTCCGTCTGAATTATAAAACCTTGCTCAAGAGTGTTATAGTGTCAATTATTTAACCACTCAATTGATTATATATACACGTTAATTAGTGTGAGACTCGGTGCATGCAAAATTTTATTTTAAAATATGATTATATTTATTTTAAATTAAATGAATGAGAGAGAGAGAGAGAGAGAGAGAGAGAGAGAGAGGAGGAGAGAGAGAGAGAGAGAGAGAGAGAGAGAGGAGAGAGAGAGAGAGAGAGAGAGAGAGAGAGAGAGAGAGAGAGAGAGAGAGGAGAGAGAGAAGGAGAGAGAGAGAGAGAGAGTGAGAGAGAGAGAGAGAGAGAGAGAGAGCATTCCAACATAATGGTTCTATCTTTGTGATGATTCTTGTAATCTTTCTTCTGTTTCTCAATCATCACCCTTCTTTCTATCTTTTTCCCCACTAGCATCAACAGGATGTTCGTAGCCATCAACTACCATATCCCATAGATCTACATTGTTAGCAAGAAAGAAACTTGTTAGAAGATGGCTCCCTTATATAGAGGGGGTGAAATAAATCACCAAGCCAAAAATTCTTGTTTTAAAATTGTTTAGTAAAATAGTGTAAGCGGAAGGTTTTTAAAATGTGTCGTTAATACGAACTGTGGTATTGGAAGTCAGATATGCAAATATAAAATTGATTTCATAAAACTAATACAATAATCTAAATTAAGTATACTTCAATCAAGTTACAAGTTATCAATCGTTTATGGAAAGTTATTAGCAATGTTATTTCCAGTTGCAATTATCAAAAGAACTAACAAAATAATTTGTCGAACACTTGGTGTGCAATTAAATATTCAGAATTTTTCTTTAAGTTGTGTTGATGCAAAAAACACTTATAATCAAAAGGGATTATACGCAATATCCACACTTGATCCAAAACAAAAACAATCCGGAAAAATTCTTACGAGTCAATCGATTATGCAATGCTATTAGCAAATTGATTGGATAAATTAAAGCAAGTAAGAACAATACGAAAAAGAGACACGAGGATTTGTCTTCACAGTTCCCCACTTTCTTCCTCGCGTGTGGATACGTCTGCACCTAATTCCAATGGTATTAGGATAACTCTTACTATGAAAAAAAATATCATACAAGAGAAGTGTTCCAAAAGCAACTCCACAAACTCTAACATTTATTGTTGATTCAACCCCTTCTCTTCCTTTGATCTTGAGAAAGACCAAGACACAATAGCTACAAATTGATTATCTGGATCTTGCTACTCCTTTGCATACTTTATCTCCAAAGCTTTCGTGCACCATTAAATTCAACTATTGCAACACAAGACTTCAATTTGATTCGTCGTTCTCGCGTTACTTACTTTGCGTTCTTTATCTTCAAAGGGTCCTTTGCGTTATTTATCTCCAAAAGCTTTCACTAGGCTGCAATCCTCTCTTGAACGTCTTGCACAAAAACCCCTAAACCAACCAATGACTTGGAAGACAAATCCGCAATTTTTCCAGATGAAAACCTGTGCAAATCTCAACCCAATATTCTCGGCTACACAAGAACCTAATTGGACATTATCGAACCTCGCCTATATGGCACCCCAAAAAAAGATTATTACAATGATTTGTTAGTGTGTATGCATATGTTGGAGGTTTAAGGTGAAAAGCAATTGCAGGGATTTTTTATAGTATTATCGAGTTAGAATGATGCATGAATGATGTATTTATAGTAGTGGAAGTTTAGATGCAAAAAGGAGATTTTTGGAATAAAATAAAAATAATTGTAAAAATTGACCTTATTAATCCATATGTGATGACCTAAAAATCGTATGTTTTGATACATACTTCAAATTTCAACCATGTGTCGACCTGAAAGAATGGATATGTCGACCAAAGCAAGTCAATAGCAACAGGTTTCAAAACAAAAGTAAATGCGTTGACTTGAAACTCATATGTGTCGACACATAAAATAAGAATTTCTCCAATTTCAGAAACGCTTTAGTATGTGTCGACCTATATGATTCATGTGTCGACCTAAGCCTTCTAGAGGCTACAAACTTCAAAATTGAGTTGCTTGTGTGGACCAGAAATCCGTATGTGTTGACACATGCAATGAAAAATTATGCAGAAACTTGTTTTTCATAACTTAGATCAATTTCAAAATGGTTTTTAATGATTCCTAAGAACCCTAATGCAAATGAGTGCCACAAGACATTTGAGATACCGTCCAACATATAGAAATGCTAAGTTTTCCTAGTTTTGACATCATGCAAAACATCTAATGATGAAGTTGTACTCACATACTTCCCCTTTTTGATGATGCTAAAACTTTCGATGATGCATTTCATGTAGTTATCGAAGGCTCCCCTTGACATTATGCTTCCAAACTTCATCTCTCATGTGCTTCTCCCCCTTTAACAACATAAAAAAAGATAGAAAATCGTGAGAAGTATCATGTGAAGAAACCGACAAAAAAATCATTGAGTGAAAATCAATGAAGTCGCCATCAAACATTTTTTATCCCACAGAAGGGAAATGTAAATCTCGAGTAAACCTGAGAAGGGTGAAATCACGATCAAATAATCGAGAGATTGGGTAAGGGAGTCAATTACGTGAGGGGAAGGTATTAGCACCCCTCATGTTCGTGGTACTCCACGGGATCCACTCTTGTTGTTCTAATCAAATGGTGTTCTCAAATCTAAATCTTACGAGCTAAGGACAAAAAATGAATAGAGGGAATGCATGCAAAAGAAAACACGAGGAAAAGAAGGAAATATTTAAAAAGTTTCGCTCGGCTGAGCCCCGTGACCAGATGCCTACATATCCCTTTTAAGGAATCAGAGCACCATAGTTCGACTAAAATTTTTCCGTTTGTTGGTTGATTTAAAATGAAGAGACAAATCATCATTTTTAAAGGAGAAGATTCGTCTAAACACCTACAAGGTATGATAAAGAATAAATGACTACGCACCAGCATGAGGGAGGGTTTGAGAACACCTCTAGTACTCAAGTGGAGAAGTCGACAACCATGGGGATAGAGGAAGAACATATCAATCATAAATTAATCATGTCTAATCTTGAGAAAAAGGTTTTAAAGGGTAAATGGTGCTTGAGCGCACAAAAATGTCTGAGTGAGGTTGAATGTTTTTTAGTCTTGAAAAAGGGTTTAAGAAATGTTAGTGTTTTATGAATTTGCCAAGAAAAAGACTTTTAGCTTTAAGAATGCAAAAAGAAAAGAAAACATCAAAGGGAAACTATCTATCTGTATCCCTAATGTTATCATACAATTATGGTCCTAAGGTTGAGTTTGAAAGGGAAATATCTACTTATATTAGCATGCATGAATTACGATCCTAATGTCTAACTTGAATAAAAAAACGAAAGGATTGAATCCTAAGGGAGCATGGTATATACAAGAAGTAAAAACAAACAAGCAATCAACAAGCTCTAACTAAGAGAGCACACACAATGTCTGAGTAGTGCACACTAACTCAAGTCAAAAGACCTAAACAAGATATTAAATCATCGAGGTAGGTAAAGGGGGGAAGTTCCTGACCATAGATACCTTGTCATCTAGGAAAGAAGGGGGTAATTAAAGCTACTCTTAACCAATGTATCGTATCCCCGAGGTAAGAAGTAAAGAGAGTGGGGAAGTGAATGTCCAAAGTGAATAAGCACCTAACCAAGATATCAAGAATCAAGGTAAGAGATAGAAGACAATATGAACAAGCACAGAGCATCAACATCATCCGATGTGAGCTCAAGACAAAATGTGGGGGATTAGTTACAGATCCATGTATTCCACTTGACCGACTCGATAACAGGAGTAGCACGATTTAAAGCATCAACACACAGTGCGAGCTACAAATGACACAGACTAGAAATGGCAGGGTCGATTACGAACCCTCTTCTCCCCTCACCTTCTTTGAGGACTTATTAGTGGGGAACGAGACGCCTTTATCGAGGTCTTTAGGCACAAATGTAAACAAGCACAAGTAGGAATTTCCTTAAACATGTCTTTAAATAAACCATAGTTTCCTCAAAGGGACTCCAAGAACACGCATCTCTATTCCTACTTCTCATGGCAAGGAAATCGAAAAGAAAATACAGGTGACACATAAAACACCAGTAAAAGTGTCAACTTGAAACTAGTGTGTGTCGACACATAAAATAAGAA